TGGTGTTAGTGAAAATGTGTGCTCAGTAAAGTGCCAAGAGCCAAGTCTTTTTCTGAGATAATCCAAGCACTTCTACACTGACACTTTGTAAATACAGTACAGTCCATGAAGTGAAGGTGGCAAAGCAGTTCAACAGTTGTAGCCGTATTTGATTACACACAGACCTACAGGATAAAGACTCTATGACAGGCCTGCCTGAGCATTTATTTTCTCCAGAGGGCCACATTGGAATATCGTCACATTGTGGAGAGCAGGACCTGTTTTCACACGTTTTACCATTTCATTTGACTTGTTAAACTCTATATACTATTTTCTGTGAAAGCTACTTCAGTAATAAATTCCTGGATTGAACCAAAATGGGAAAAAAGGTAAAGTAGGCAGAGTATTAGTATTGTAAGCAGATTCATCAAGCAGACATCAAGTTACAAACATTAATAGAAGGGTATTCACTTCCACTCATTTAAAAGGCAACAGAGCGCACTTTGAGGTAACGGCCGTAGAGGATTCAGGGGCCACATCGAAATGTAAATTGGACCACATGTGGCCCCCAGCCCGCAGTTTGCCCAGGTCTCCATTATGAAATACATGGTCCCCATACAACTTAAATTACAGCATGTTTTGTCCCCTGCATCATTTTGGCTGTAGCACAAACGACTGTGGTCTAATGTGTACAGCTGCAACAAACCTGCACTATGTCTTATTCATGTGAGGTACAAGTTTAATGCTTAGAACGTGAAAACACAAAGGTGATGGGGGAGGGGGGAACGCTCATAGGAACAGCCAGAACAACGTTCTTTCCTAGAAAGAAACACCCGGGATATTTTCTCACCCAGCATCTGCAGATGTACACTATATGACATTAGGGGAGGACTAATTCAACTACATACCGTGGTAAAAGTACTAATACTGTAATTATTTATAATTTGTTTGATTAGTGCTGGTTTTTTACTTCTTTTTTGTTGATCACTTTGAGATGCCTTGTGCTTGAACTGTGCTATACAAATACACTTTGCCTAACTTTGCTACAACCACACAAAAGTTTAAATTTGTTATCTTCTTTTTTTCAAAATAATAAAAAAAAATAAAACTTGGGTTTGAAGTATATATCTTTTGGGGTATTTCTTTACAAGCTTTGTGCATCAAGAGACCAAATGTTTTTGCCCGCAACTCAAACAATCAAATCACAACAGAAGTTTTCCACAATTGGATTTATGTTTGGTCTGGGTCATTCTTACACATGAATTTGTTTTTGAAGCTGCTGCTGTACCTGCTGGAAGGTAATCTTGACCATATTGCCTGTCCTTGCTGAATACAAGATACAGTTCTGATCGTTTACTTAAGCTCAAAACAAAGTAATACACACAAGATGCTGCTCTCACCATATTTGACACTGTGGACGGTGCACTGAGGGAGATAGACGGAGATAATTTGGCACCGTACGTTACCGAACATATGGTTTTACATTTGCGTCAAAAAGTTAAATTTTGGTCTAAAGCCGCGTTCAGACAGGATCATGCGTTGGGTCTGCTTTCAATGCAAAGTCAATGGTGACGCGCGTTCAAGCGTCAAAATGCATGGACCTCTCGGCACACACGCACGGACCGCGCAGTAGAGAAGCACGGACTGCGCGGGAAAGTCAAAGGGGAGGAGCAGGAGCGGAAAATGGACGCCCACAGGAGATAAACTTTGTTCAACCTTTCCTCGGGACGTTCGTGCAGCGACCAATCAGAGAGCCGCAAAGTGGTCACGGGGACATTGGTGGTCTGAGCGAGCAGACTGAACATACTATGAACAGCCAAAACAGGAGCTACATCAGGACTAAACCAGAACTAAACCAGGGTTGACAATGGGGGACATAGTGCTTGTGAATATATGCGTTGTCATGCTCCCGTGACTTTATGCAACTTCTTTGAGTGTGTTCACCAATGCGGAAGTACCGTTTAATAATAAAATAAACTTATTGCGCACCTCCGTGAACACATACCACTGTTATATAAAGTCCTTGGAAGGTCTCTGAACACAGACACCCTGCCAAGCTGCATTATTGGAGAAGATCTTTACACGAGAAGCCCCTAGCATAACTCTGGTAGCATCAGAGCCCGCCGGCTACTTCCGGCACTTCCGGCGCTGGTCAGGACGTTCTGGTGTCAAGACCCCTGTGTCTGAAAACTAGAGAATGCGCGTCTGGTGAGCGGGGCTTTATAGGACCAACATGTATCAGAGCACCATCCACATGTTAGGTGTGTCCCCAAATGACGGCAGACTGCAAACAGGATTTTCCTCCTTTCAACAATGCCTTTCCTTTTGCAGATAAAGCCAGATTTGAATAATGTATGACTAATATTTGTCCCTCTGCTCAGCTGCAGAAGTTGGTGCCTTCTCCAGAGTCATCCTGAGGCACAAACATGGTCACAATTCTGGTCCGCACTTTCCATGTTCGACTTCCCAGTTTATGTGGACGGCCGTGTCTTGGTAAGTTTGCGGTGGTGTCATTCTATTTCCAATTCTGTATATTAGATTGAAAAGTGCTTTGTCAGATGTTTGAAGGTTGGGAAATCTTTGTAAACCTTTGCAAGCCCCACTTTTCAGTTTTTCAGTTTATTTTACTTTGCAGAGCCACTATATGTCTTTTATATTTAACCAGGATAGTCCCACTGAGATTTCAGAATGTGAATCCTGGCCCCTGAGTGTAAACATCTATTGTACATGATTTTAGTTGTAGGGGAAACTGGAGCACCCGGAGAAAACCTACGCAGAAAAGCCCGGTTCCATCTGGAATTTGAAAACAGGACCTTCTTGCTGAGAAGCGAGAGTGCTAACCGTTCAGCCATCGTGTCGCTAATCCATCCAAATGCAATTAATTGACTTCACCTTGAGGAATGTGTCCGACTGAGCTATTCATCTTCTAACCTTGCTCGTATGTGGATAGGGGCAAACATTATTTAGATTTTCTCTTTAATTTCCACATTTTTCTCATTTAAATTGCCTCACAGCAGGAATAAGATTAATGTTGTTGTTGTCTAATGTTGGACGTCCTTCAGGTATCGATCGTTACAGTGACCTTTGCTGAGGACAGGAAGTTCCCAACTGTGCTGCTGTTGTATGAGCTCTAGAGAAAGCACGGGACAACCTTTGACTCTTCAAAATAAGTTTAAAATGGATATGTTAATGCGATCTTTTATAACTGCAGGCAACTTTAAAGGATAGTTTATTGATTTCCATAATAATTGTATTCATTTTGAAGTAACAGCTGTTTTGATCTGAAACTAGAGACATGTGGACTGATATTATAAACATGAAAAAACATCTTCTATAAAATACAATAATAAAGAAGACTGAACTGTAAATTACTGGACACGTCTGCACTCATGGATTCATGGCAGGTATACGATGAAATGTGAGAATAATATGGAGATATTGAGCTGATTGGATTCAGCGGAGCAGCACAAGACAGTGAGTTATGAAATAGTGACAAGCAGCGTCACAAACAGGAGGTGATGAACGGGGCACGAGGGGCAGGAGCGACAGAAACCACAGAGATTAGGACGTAATCCAGGCAAATGTAAAGGCTTTTCAAATTCAGGTTAATTCCCCCAAACCTGTGTCATCATCTCACATTTACGTGTCTGGTCTATTATATCTGAGGCTAATAGTTTTCTGTGGCTAAAAAGGGATGGTCTTCTAAGGACATCTATTTGTTAAAACACCTGGAGGTTTTTCAAAGATATCATAAATGGCTCCTTTTGCTAATTACATTTTCCCTTATTATCTTCTATTTATCTGTTTAGAAATTTAACCAACAAACAAATTTTAAATGCAAACTCTGTCATGGTGTGGATTATTAGTTATTTTGTGACTTCAGTTCTATGGTTTTGGTTGTACTTCCTGTCCCATTCCCCTCTGTGTTCATTGTCTGCCCCGCCCAATTGTGTGTCACTTCTCACTGCTCCTGACAGAGACCCTTGCTGCATTACAGGATGGTCAAATGAAGAGAACACATTTCCCTAAGGGACAATCAAGTATACCTTAACCTTAAATTATCTTAAAATAAACACTGGTATATGGATACACTAATAAAGTTTTAGGGTACATTTGATTCCAGTAGAGAAATGTGTCCTCTGCATTCCTCATCCAAGGAAACCCACCACAAAACATGCAACGTCTACACTGCAAAAACATTATTAATCAATGAGGTAATGAATGCTTAAATTGAGTGGTTTTCAAGAACTGATGTATTTTTTTCTCATTCCAAGGGAGACATTTCTTGTATCTTTTTTAAACAAGATTATTCTACTTGTCCCATTGGCGAACCTTGTTTTAAGACAGTGAAAATGTGCTCAAATTAAGATACTTTGAGCCAAATTTGAGCCTTTTTTGACCCATTTTTCATAACTTTTTGCAGGGTACACAGAAAGGGCCAGGCCAACATGGGACTCAAACCAACAACCTTCTTTTTGTAAAGTGTAAAGTGCAACCATAGTCTGTGAAATGCGCTTGAACCCACAACCTCCCTGCTGTGAGACATGAACACTACCCACTCAGCCAGTTCATCTGAATATATGCATGTCCTGGGACAATGTGATGGAACTGGCTTTCAAATATTATTTACTTGACTTTCTTCCAAGTAGAAACTTAGAACAGGTTTGAATTTTGGAGAGAAGCAAGTGTCCTACATTTCAACTACCTGGAGAAGCAAGTACACACATATTTGAGTTGGCATCTCCATCGTGTAAGAGGCTTACTTAATAAAACATTGTGCTTACAAAACACAAAACAGGACTGATTTACAATTGCATAACTGTACCTGTTTGGTCTACGTCAATGGTTTGTCTCACAGACGATTTACTGATAGCAATATTTTCTATTTTTAGTGAGATTAACAACCCAACTAATAGGAAGGGATTAGTATTTTATTACAAATCCTAAATAAAACTGAATATGCGGACGTCATCTCTAAAAAGTGCATTCACGACTGTCATTTTCCTGATTGCGGATCCAAATCATTCTGACCTGTTGTAGAGCAGGATGTCAGGAGTCCATATTTGATCAGACGGAAAGCGCAGGTTTTGGACCCCAGGGTAGTGCTCTGTGTTCCAGCTCAAGTAAGCATCTGTCCAGTACTGAGGAAAAGAAAGACAAGACTTAATTTGGCTTTTCACCGACACTTTTACATACGTGGAGTAAAACGGCTTTCTCAAACCAACAGGACAACCACTTTTTAATACATAAAAAAGTACACTATCAGTCAAAGCCAAATGAGTTTCAAAAATCTTTTATTCATCCCACAATAGGGGAAAACTAGCATAAATATAACGGCTCTCTGCTCCTGGTGCAGATGGCTCTTTGGATGGCGCTTCTTCAGCTGGATACATCCGCACCCAGCCCTATATCTTTTCATAGTTTTACCTATTTTACCTGTGTGTGTGTGTGTGTGTGTGTGTGTGTGTGTGTGTGTGTGTGTGGGTGTGTGTGTGTGTGTGTACGGGTATATGCATCCGGATGTATAATCAGGGTGGCTTATGGGTGGGTCTGTGGGGCGGTGGGGTATATTGGGCATGTTGAATTGATTTTGACTAAGCTGTAAAGCACTTTGTTGCATTTTATTGTATGAAAAATTTATTTTATTATTATTATTTAACGTACAATTTATTGTACGTTCTGTAGCTAGCTTAGGTCCTAGATCATTAGCCTGTCCGTCCGGAGGAGCGGATCCCTTTCTCATATGGGTCTCCCTCCCTGTGGGTTTCCCTAGTGCTCCCCAAGGTTTCTCACGTTTTCCCACTGGGTTTTTTAAGAGTTTTTCCTTGTCGATGCAGGAGGGTCTTGTTGGACAGTTAGTGTCCAACAGAAAGGATTGGTGATGATCAGGACACTTTAGCATTCTACAACATGTATGGACATTTTCTTCTGTGTGTGCTTTATATTCTTCATGTGTTGGTGATTTCAATGGTTTTGTTAAGTCCTCTGAGATGACTTCTGTTGTGACCTAGGGCTATACAAGAATAAATTGTATTGTATTGTATTGTGTATGAAAAGCGCTTTATAAATAAAGATTGATTGACTGATAACTGCTGAGCCTCTGTTCTGATGATTCATTAGTCACTTTACCTGCTGCTATTATCTCTATTGTCATTCTGGTTATACTCTGTGCTGCTAAAGTTTAATACCAACCAATCTGTAAATGTGAAACCTCAAGACTGCTGCTGAAGTTACTTACTGAATCTTTGTCTGAAATTGCAATTATAGCTCCAGAGTTTACTGTCCTACTGCTTTATTTTGTTATTTATTATCTTAAATAATGGATTTGTGCTCTTTTTTCTCCCTTTATTCTGCTGTACTGTGCACTACTATGACATTGAAATTTCTCCACTGAGGGAGAAATAAAGGTTTATTTTATCTCATAACAAGGCAATACATGTAATCATTCATCAGAACCTTAAATTAAATAATGTTTAGTGCATGAAGAGTTCATTTGCTGAAATAACCAACTCCCTTTTGAAAATGTATCAAACTGTTCTTGTTACTACAATCTTCAACATGTTTTGTTATTGGTTGTATATTTGAAAGAGGTGAAACTTTTTAATTGTATGGCACTATCACAGATCTGGCTAGATGTGGTAAAGATGAAATCATAACCCTTTGTTTTTGTAATCACAGCACATACAGAAAAATACATTTCAAACTAAGCTCTTCACTTATTGAGATTTATTTTCTATTGTGTCACTCACTAATTGAAGCCAAGCGTTGGTCATTAGCACCTGGTTCTTTTCATCCTGCAAAAAAAGCAAAAGAACAAATGAATGAGGATCCACTGGATGTGAAAGGAGTTCAATATTACACATCCTTAATGAAGAAAACTAAGCGACCCATTAGATCTTGAAGGATGCTTCTCAAATTGGGGTTCTGGGAGCATAAAGGAAACTGTATGGGGTTAATTTTATTTCATGATTACAGCAGCAAACAACTACTGCATCTATAAATATAAATGATTAGAAATGTGTGATCAGATGTGGGTTTTAGAAAGAGTGTGTGTACATAATGTGTTGGAGTCAAGAACAAATGCCCTATACCAGCGGTGGGCACTTATTGTCTCCTGGGGCCGCACTGGGATATTTCCAATGTTGCAGAGAGCCTGACCTGTTTTCATGAGGCTGTTTAGTATAATTTGGGAAATCATATTCACTGTCATCTACCGCAGTGGCGCAGTGGTTAGCAAGAAGGTCCTGGGTTCAATTCCACCTCCAGAGCCTTTCTGTGTGGAGTTTAATAATAATAATAATTATAATGGTGCATCGGTTTTGTATAGTGTTTTTCAGGACACTCAAAAGACGCTTCACTTGTCAATATTCTTTCACTCCATAAACGGTTGCGATAAACTACTATTGTTGCCACAGCTGCCCTGGGGCACACTGACAGAAGCGAGGCAACCAGTATGAGCCATTGATCCCTCCGACCACCACCAACCATTCACGCACTCACCAGACTCATCCTGGGTAATGTGGGTGAAGTGTCTTGCCTCAGGATACAACAACAGTTTCGCACTTTACAGCCGCAGCCGCCCCATTTTGCATGTTCTCCCTGTGTCTGCGTAGGTTTCCTCAGGGTGCTCTGGTTTCCCCCACCGCTAAATTCCTGTATAATAGTCCCCATAAGTCCCTCCCCGACCTCGCTCTCTGTCTGGGACCTGATTGAAACATCGGTGCTGTTTTATTCTGTATTGTTGCCCATGGCGACACAAGTCCATCTGTTTACTGATCGATTACAGAAAAACAAAGAATTCTAATTGTACCACATCTATGATCTGCAGCAGCGTGAGCCCCAGCTCCACCAGGATGGGGGCCGAGTCGTTCACCACGGGCCTCTCCAGACGGTTGTAGTTGGCTAAAAGCTCCTTGTACAGCTTCCTCTGGTACTCCCCCTGAAAAGACCCTAAATAGAACAAGAGCATTTAGTCATTTTATATGGACGCATGAAAATTATACTTTTGCGTGGTGACTTTTCAATGGCAGGTCCTTCATTTAATTTATGGAAAATTAAGATTGTAGTGTTGGTTTTTAGGTTGGCTGTTTGTACCCAGTTTATTTTTATTGATTTATTTGATAGGGACAAGTGAAACACTACAACATTTATAGCCAAGGCTAATTTGCAATGTCCGTTCCTAGGAGGGCTTTTAACACAATTAAAAACATATTGTATATTATAATATTCACATCATACAAAAGCAGGTGTCCTCCAACTCATTAATGATCACACAACTGATTTGTTTCTAAAAAAATCGCTTCAGTTTGTGTTTAAAACCAGCCCAGTCAGAGTTCAGTTTTAGTTGAGGGCTTAAAGAGTTCCCCCTGGACCGAGAAGACCGACACATGAGGTCTCACTCCTCACCCGGCTGGGGATATATTCTCCTCCATAGAGAGCCTGTGAATACATCATGTTTATCTTTGAATGTATATGTGCATTGGGTGTGAGTTCCCTTTGAGGTGATTAGAATGATGTGTTTCCTGGACAGTCTCTCGTCCCTCTTATTTATCTCTCTGTGTCACCTTCCAATCACATTAGGCAGACCTTACGCCCAAAAATGTATCTGGCACGCTACACCCCATTAGCTCTGACGCATTTGCAACTTAATTCAGAAAAGTGTAGTGGGAGGAAAAGTAACCTCACCTCAAAAGACAGGGCTGTGGGTCCTTAAAGCTGGGGTACCTGACTAACCTCTTCAAACGCTGAATGACTGTGTGTAACAAAACTCCATCTGACTGGTCAAAACATTTTAGGTTCATCACCCTTTTTCCCAGGCTTCTATTAATATACATGACAATATGACTGTTTTTTCAGTACTTTGAGTATCTTTTGGTCCAGGACTATGATATCACACTGATTGTGTCTATGTTTCAAACACCCCTGCTGCTTCAGGAGCAGAAAGATCTTTGATTTTCAGTTATACATAACTACACACAGCAAGAAAACAAAGCAAATGTGTATATAGATTAATTCTGCATGTAACTTGAGGACGTACTTTGATTGTAACTAGAATATTTACAATTTACAATTGAGCTACATCAAATATATTACCACAATAGATTATAAAAGTAACTAGTTACTTCAAACAAGTACAGACAAAGAGAAATGTGTGCAACAAAGGCGTCAGAAAGCATGTGTCGTGTTTAGGCAAAGTTCATGTTTATGTTAAAAATATTTTCTGCTCTAGTAATAAAAGCTTGCACAGTGCACTGTCACCCAGCTGCACTTCTGAAACTGGCAGATGCAGAAGGTTGCACTGAGCGCCGTGTAAAATGAGTTTGTGCCTCATAAGCAGAACAGATGCAGGGCAAAAGAGTCTCTGAGTTCTATCATCACACAACTGTCTTCATTTCAAACATACAGAGTCAAAATCACTCAACACAACATGTGTTGCATGGATGTTAGGCTGCAGCAGTATATTACTGTGGCTGTAATGAACTGCCCTTGAATAAGAAGTTGTTTCAGGTGTATTAACGCCTTGGGCTGTCAGACCCAGAGCCGATACTGTGACACTGTGTTTTCCCAGAAATGCAGTCGTTATGAGCAGATGGAATAAACGTTCATCCATTCACACTCCAGTTTGCACCTCTGTGCCTTGTCTCCGTGTGACATCATTATAAAACACCTGTTCCCAGTTCAACTGTAACACAGTCCTGTTATTCCGAAAAACGTAATTTTTGTTGTCACACATTTTGAAGATCCACTGACTTTTTTGTTTTTAAAATTGCACTGGATGAGTGCTTCCACTTGCTGTCCAATATGTCCTTAATCCTGAGGAACCCGTTGATGTATTTAACAATATTTATGTTTTAAAACCCTCAGTTTAATGACACTGCCGCTAGTCACATGTTCATGGATCATGTTGCTGACCTCATTAATCGACAGGTTTATTCGTCAAAGGTCTACACACACACACACACATACACACTAACACACACACATGTACTGTGATACCAGGATGGGTTGAGACTGAGCACCTAAACCTGGAGGCTGTGCGGGTGAGAGACGTCTTCTCCCTGGGGGTCTGCAGCCTCAGGCACACACTGTTTGAGGGCTGTCCATCTTATGTCACCTTCACAAGACCCTTACACTATTGTAGTGAGATGAAGTATGATAGAAAATGTCTCCAGACAAACCTATTTTTTCAGTCACAACATCTACTCTGCAAGGGATGACCATAATACTTTTTTCCACAGTTTCAGTATTTCATTATTCAGTCTAGAATTCCATATTATCTGGGATGATGACAGAAGAATCCTCAAATAGAAAAAGAGCCATCAACATCCAGACAATTCTGGATGTTGATAAGAAGTGCCTGTTAAATGTTAAACGCTGCCAATGTGCCGTCTGACAGAATAACTTAAAGAGCGACTAAACACCTGTGCCCAGCCTTACTCCGCCCACATGAAGATTTGAAAATGTTCTCTAAAAAGGGCGTTGCCTGGAGGACTAAGGGACAAGAAGGGGGGCTTAGAGTTGGGCGTGGTCTAGGCTGTGATTGACAGCTCACTTGTCTCACTAAAAAAAACAGACAGTTGTCATTGCTGCTTAAAGCAATAGTTTACACACCAGAAAGTCTCATTTCACCCTTGTTTACACACTAAGATAATTGTAAAGCTACACACCTGAACCTAATCACACTCAATAATCTCAGAATGACTCATGTAATGTAATTTTAATCCACTAGATGGCGCCAGAATACTCCAAACTGCAGCTGGGGCGTGTGTGAGAGTTGAATGGGTTCACATCACTGGCTCTGACAGACTGACGTCACACAAAACAACTGATGTCATAGAGAACTTCAGAGTCAATGGAGAGGCCAGAACCAAATTCAAATGTAGTACCACCAGAAAGGTTGAGAGGGCACCACACAGCGTTTTTTGGCTCAAAAGTGATATTTTATCTAATTTGAACTAAAATGTCAAAAAAATGACCAGGATATGTAGACAGCACTACAATAAACATACTTATGCAGTTTATGAGTTAAAAAAGTTGATTTGGTGTTTAGTCGCTCTTTAAGCCAAAGTCACTTTCACATTTGGACCATTCATCTGCTTTAGATTAAATGCCAAACTCGACACAGTCATTACCAGAGAGTAAAATGCACCCAAAGTCATAATAGTTCCACCCATTTCACTCTGTTCATGGGCTGACAGCTGTCTTACTTCAACAAGATTAACAGCTGTACTTCTGGGCTGCTTTTATGCATAAGTATGTATCAGTCATCAGTTACTAAAAACTTTAGATTTAATGAGACAAAGATGTAGCTTTACATGATATTGCACATTTCAGAATTAGGTCAACAGTGAAGAGATTATGGTTTTGTTGCATTTAAGGTAAATATGGAAATGAAGCACACACAGCACAGATTGGAGGAGAGATATTTAGAGACGTCAACTGACACATCTGTGCAAATGTGTTTTAATTAAGTTACAGTATTCTCAATAACCTATAATCAATCAATATAAAATATATCCAACCAACACTATTTTATTTTTTATTTACATAATTTTTTCACAATAAATATGTTTGAACTATTTTGTATAAATTATCTGAATTTAGTATAGTCTCAGAGGACTTTACAAAGTTGTCGATTCACCAAAAACGATCAGATCAAACTGTTCAACACAATAAATATAATAACAAACACATAGGAGCTATTGGCCAATGGATGCAGCAGGATGACCAATGTCCAAAAATATCAAAAAATATGGCAGTTTAATGGATGGAATGATCCTAAAGAGGTGATGGAGGAACTAAAATAGCAGCAGTGGTCATAGTTGTGCTCACGACAGAATTGTTGTTAATCCAATTTGTTTTGTTTTGTGAAGGACCGTGTCCCTCCCGCGTACATGAATTGTGCTTCATGAATGAAGCATGTTATCATGAATGTGTTGCACCAAAGCCACTAATACACCACGTGACCAGCGCCGTGATCTTCAGCCTGCGGCCAAAGAATGAAGCTCTAAAAGCAATGCGCATTTAATCCTAATCCAGATGTTAAGACTTTAGGTGGTAATGGTGACAGCAGCCGTTGCTTTCTACAACAAATGAATAGTTACATGTACAAGGATTATATGTGTGACGGACGTGATGCCATTAGAGGAAAACATCTCATCAGCAGTCGCACATAGAAGGACAGAGCCATCAAGAGGAAAGTGGAGCTGCCTCAAACACAAACAGAAGAGTGTTGAGAGGAAAACTGCAGGTCATCTAACTAAACACATCTGCATTAATACAGATTTTATGTAAATGTTGATGATGTTGATGCCAAGACGCAGAATACCTTGAAGAAGTGCTGCTAAACCAAATAAAGTACTTTTTTAAATGATTACACAGGCTGAAGACGTCTGAACTTACCTTTGAATAAAAATGTTGTCCAGACACAAACTCCCCAAAACTTGTGGACCAGCATCCTCGCACTGACGCCACTGCTACAGTTCAGTGACGGGAAGTGAAGTGTCACTGATCGCGCCGAAAGAGCGAGCCTCTTTTTGTGATGAGGCGGGAATAAGGGCAAGTGCGTCGGCGGAGGAGATAAACTACAACAGACGCGCTGAGAGCCAGGCGCGCTCCCGATGCAACCCCGGCGCGCGCACGCTGCAGTTTGTTCAACATGGTTTGAACTTTAGCTTTGTTTAAAAAAATAAATGAACAATAATAATAATGATTATAATATAGTTTGACCTATGCTTATTCGGTTCATTCTTACTCTACGAGTTAGAAAAGCCTATAGACTAAATGTACTCTTAATATCCAGGCTTTGCATTATTTATGGTTTGAGTTTTGGGGTGTAAGCACTCAGCGAGAGGATGTCACAGCATCAGCCACAGCACATTTGGTCAAAATAAGCAGTCAGGTGGAAACTTATTAAACAACCCTTTCATTTGGATAATGGACCTTTTCTTTAACTGAAAAATAAAAGGAAAAATCAAGTACGCGAAGGTGACTGTATGACGCTTACGTGATCACTTCACACTAGTTCATTATCAGTGAGATTATAGATCACCTGGAGGCGGACAGTGGAAGCCCTGACATGGGGCCTGGTGCGGCAGATGGTTACCAAAGTGACGCAGTGGGAGACTTTGTTGCTGCCCTACAGGGCTATAAGTTAGGACGAATAAATGCGTTTGTGTTTATTATTTATTCGTTTTTATTAGTCCATCAAAGATTTTCTTGTCTTATTTATTGAGAGATGATATGTCTCGGCTACGCAGCTTGACGGTAGCCTTTTCATGTGTCTCTAAATATTACATTATAAAACAGGTTTGAATGAAACATGTCTGGTCCTACTTGAAAGGAAGGGCACAGCACCTTAACAAGCACTCAAATGACTTCTCTGGGGACCAGCTTTGATTTCTCAAGACGAAGTAAGTCTTCAAAACTTCCTTCACTAATGCGTGTTTATCGCCCCCATAAGACCAGAGGGAGTGGGGGATGCTCTTGGTGCATCTTTTCAACTAAGCAAATGAATTGTTCAAAGATACATATTGTACACACTTTGCTGCACTTCAGTGCTACTGTTGCTGGTGAAGCTCTATAGATACAATTGGGTATAGCACCACCTAGTGGACTAGGGAGCCATGTTTCACGTGAGCAATAGGCCTTTACAAAGTCATTTGGAAATGTAATGGACGTATAGAACATGTGAGAGGGGACCAGAAAGTTTTGAGGCTGCAGAAGTCATGTCACAATGTTGTCTTTATGCTGACTGGATATTCCAGTGATCCCACTCTGGATGTTTGCATTAGATGTTTTTCTATATTTTTTCTGGGCTGAAGGGAGAGACCCTGACATGCCTGACTCCCTCTTGGACAGAAGGGGAGGAGGACTCATGAAAGAGAGTCTTGTTCAGTTTATGCAGTAGATACAGTCCCAAACTCACCGTGCACGCTGCTGAGGCTCAGTGCATCTCACAGCTATGAAACTGAAGATAATTATCCTTTTGGCAATTTTGGGAGGTAAGTTTAACTCTTTTAAAATACAACCATAATTTATATGTTGTGTTAAATTTATTATTAATTAAAATGATTCATTATTGGGAATTAAAGTTTACACAACTTGTATTCTTTTCATTTTTACTTTGTAAGTAGAAAGACACTTTTCAAGGCACTCAAAGCACTTCTCACCAATCACCCATTCACCCACATTCACACAGTGTAGAGCGTTAAGTGTCTTGCCCAAAAACACAGCAACATTCACCAATGGGAGCTGGTTTCACAGCTGCCAACCTTTGAGTCAGTGGATCAGTGACAACTCCCAGTCTGAAGGTAAAAGCTATAAAAATGGACATTTTAGCTCAATTTGCTCAATACTAATTATTGAGGGCAAATTATTTAGCAAAGAGAAAGTCAGAGGTTTACACACAGAATCATTTTCTGTTTCTCAAATAGTCTCCAAACTCTCGACTCCAAACCAAAACAAGTACTGTATCTTGCTTTTGTTTGACCCAAACCCTCCTCTCATGGAACAGACTGTGCAGAAAGAGCCGCAGCCACTGGTGTTTTTAGAAATTTCATTGGAGGGGGTAAAACATTTGATGTGATGTGTGTGTGTTGATGTTTTTTTTTTGTCTTTGCAATTTGTAAAATTGTGGTTGGTACTGGAAATGTAATTGTACATTATATGCTAGGAGTTTTGTCAGCACCATTTGCCAAAGAAAATGAAGCTAAGACATTTATCCGACAAAGACGACAGACAGGTTACTGGGATCCAAATGATCCTCAAAACATTTGGGGATACACCGTTCAAGAACAGGTTTGCAATGAAACACTAAGCACTAACCTACATTTTGTATTGTCTGAAGTATTATTACAAACGATGGTATTGTGTTGTCTATAGGCCAACGAATACTGGACAGCACTCCGCACAAATGCACAGTACTACATGGACATGGGACATCTGATGTTTGACCGCTCTGTGGCTGAGTATGGAGATATGTTGTGACAGACTGTTACTGTTTAGTCTTGTTTACTGTTGTGTGTTTCATAGTGAGAACAACCGCATGTATATGGAGATGCTGCGGAACGCCAGAGCTCAGCTGGACAGTCACACGGGGACACAGGGATGAGAGAAAGGAGCCAGCTTTTACTTCTACTGTTCATTGTGTAGAAAGTCTTGGTCTTGAATATTATTTTGAACATGTCATAATCAACTTTAAACAACAAACAACTTATGTAAGGTGGAATGTGCACAATTGATGTAAAATGTATAGATATGTTAAATTAATAAAGTTTATTGCAGCAAACACTGCTGTTTGTGATTCAGAATATCATACAACAGTATAACTGCAATGCACAAGGAACACCACTAGATGGTGGAATCTATTCACCGAGCCGTGACAGAAACATTGCTCATCCTTAAAACACATGACGAGTGGAACATCCAACACAAGGTCAAAGTCAGGGCAAACTGTCTTTGTGCAGTTACACAGTGAGAGCAACTGCATCCTGAGAGATTTCTACAAAAGGGATTTCCAAATAACAGACATTACAGATTCCTTATATTATACATAAAAGTCTGTAGTTCTTCAGAGGCAGTGTTTTGGTGCAGACACAGAGTACACCTGTGCTTCTTTATGAAAGTGGAGTTAGTGCGGAGGGGTGGAGGAAGACTCCTCGCTGGCAGCTTGGGGAGGAACTTTCATGAACATCATCAGAGCTGGTGTGAAGATGAAGATTGTGCCCAGAACTGCTACAGAGAGAAAGGCCCACAGGAGGATACGGTCTAACACCTGAGCCACAAACTTCCAGTCTTGTACCACCTGGATTTAGAGCAAAGGCAGAAGGAGAAACTATGTCAACTATTATAACACAGTCTGTGTTATGCATTCTAAAACAAAGAGTACCTCTCGAATGAAGTGTTCCTTGCGGATGTGTCTGCTGATGTAGCGCACAGAGTAAATAGCTTTTTCCAACATGCCGGACCAGGGCTCCTCCTCCTTCCCCTCTGACGCAGCAGTCCGCTGACCTCCTGCCCTTCTGCCAGACCGGGGCTTCAGCTCGGGGCTTTCAGGGGCCAGCTCTGGGTAGTGGTAACGGTCTGTGTGGCCACGCATGCAAAGCATTCTGGGCAGTTTCTGGAGGAAAAGAGTACGAACCCAAGGGGACATGGGGTGGTATGTGGCAGAGGAGCGATGGTGAACATTTATGACAAAAACTGTGACAATAATGGAAAGAGTAACAAATATCATAATGAAGAGAAGGTATTCTCCGATCAGAGGAATGACTTTGGAGGAAGATGGAATAATTTCTTCAATAACAAGTAAAAACACAGTGAGTGACACAAGCACAGAGGTGGAGAGTGAGAGTTTCTCTCCTTCATCTGATGGAAGATAAAAGACCAGAACAGTGAGGAAGGACAGCCCCAAACAAGGGATGATCAGGAAGAGTGTATAGAACAGCGGCAGCCTCTTCAGAATAAAAGAATATGTTATGAAAGGGTATGAATACAAGCCATCTTTTCTATTTCCTCTGGCTCCTGTGGCACTGAGTATTTCCCATTCCCCATTGTCAAAGAAGTCTTTTCGATCAACCTGGTGGTCCATCAGGACCAGGTCTACCATGTGGCCATCGTACGTCCATGAGCCGAACTTCATGGTGCAGTTCTGTCGGTCAAAGGGGAAGAAGGTGACGTCCATGGTACAAGCAGATTTGTAGCTTGCAGGAGGAGTCCAGGTGATGGCCCCATTGTATTTAACAATGGCTTTAGTCATGAGTGAGCCCTCAAAACGCCCATCAGCGCTAAGACAACGCAGAAAAGAACAGAATTATGCAACCTACTATAAAATGTAAAATTGTTCGTGAGATTTCTTACTTTTCATAGAGAACAATGTCTGGAAGCCATATATTTTCAGAAGGAACTCTGATGGAGGTGATTCCACCATAATTTTCTGGATTCCATCTGAGCTTGTAGTCGTACCATTCCTAAAATCAAACATCAGTTTTCAGTGCTACATAAACAGTTGTTGTTAGTGACACTGAGTACACTGGCTGTGCACAATATGTGATATATGATGTCAGTATCTGTTCTTATGTAGACAAATACTCTGGTTGTACCTGGCACAGCCAAACATTTGTTGTCATTAACTGGTTCTTTTCATCCTGAAAGAAATCAACAGATGGCAAACAGAAAATAAATATTACTTTAGAAAAATATGTTTTTCAACACAATCCCCAATACTGCAGGTTAAATGTTTGTGTACATTGTAACATTACAGAAATAAAGCTAAACACTGTTAAGTTGATACATTTGGACCAATACAAAAAGCAGAAATGTAAAAGTACAAGACAATTTCCTCACAAGGCTGGCAATTGCTTTAATATTCAGGACAAAGTGAAAGTGGATAGTGAGGTTGACAGAGAGTGCTTAAGCTGCTCAGTGCACACAGCCTCAGCCTCAGCTGTCAGAATCATCCGGCTGTTTTGGCGCTCATAAAGACCAGAGGTGCACCATAATCTAATATTGAACCATGCAGCGGCCCAGGGAGACTCAAGGGACAAGCAGATATCCCCCGCTCTATAGCCTTTGTTCCCTTTCCCAGAATCAAGTCAAAAAACCATTTCAGTCCTTCGTGTGCTAGGCAGAAGAGCATGTGTGAGGGCACGCCAGGAAGACTAACTCCAGATAAATATTTCAAACCAAAAAAAGACTTCTTCCATTAGTACTCTCTATTTTATCCATCCCCAACAAACCAGGTCATAAGAGCCAGATCAGAAAGGCTGTTGTAATATTAAAAATACACTACTTTGAGGACAGGCTGCAGCGATAAAGCTATTTCAGGACCATGGAAAGTTCCTCGCAGTGACCAGTCCATGCATAGAATAGATTTGTGTTGTGGAAATTATGTGAATAAACTCTTGATAAAGGGTTGGCCAAACACAATTGGACGACATGTGTGTGTGAGAGAGAGTTGACCTTACCACATCCACGAGCTGGGAGATTTTGAGTCCGACTCTCACTCTCACTGTGTCATTGACTCGCTGAATCGGCCGGACCCACCGCTGGTATCCTTGAAAAAGGTTCTTCAACAGAGCGTCCTCCATTTCAGCCAAAGACACAAATTCATTCTTTGCTGTAATCAGTAAATACAATGTTTTAAGTGGGTGGGGGTTCATGTGGCATGTGTTGAACAGAACCACATGTGTGTAAACACTGCACATGATCGACTTTGCTCATTTGTCAACCTAAACTAATACATATGCTTCTCCTAAGTGTATAACATTTGAGGGTTATTACAGAAAGTCTTGGCACAAATGTAAACAAATGACATCACATCGAGATAAGAGAATGGATAGAATTCAGTTACACTTGCACAACATTGAATTAGTCCTCATCAGGAGTAGTTATAATTAACTTAGGATACACTGTAATAGGTCAATAAACATCTATTCATCAAAACTATTGTGGTTCACACAGCAGAGGGACAGTTGGCTCAGCTCCACGGGACATCATGTCTGGAATGTGACGTAAACCAGAACAAAGACACAGTACAAGTATAGCATCATAACAACAGTGGGAGCAACGATTAGCGGGTTGTAAAGGACCTAAAACACTGTCGACTTAAAGTTGGACGGAACTGTGAAAGAGACATTCCAGTCTTTGAAATATTCTCTGCTTGATACAAAGCAGTAGTTTACCTGGAGTCGCCGCTCTGACACCGCAGGACGCAGACAGCGACAGCAGCAGGACAGCCACAAACTTCATGTTCCTCAGCGCAGAGAGAACCGCGGCTCTGTGCCGCTCTGAGCAGCGCGCAGGGGCTGGTGCGTGGAGCTGTGGATGCGCGGATCTGAAGCAGTGGGAGCATGAGCGGGGAGAGGAGCTGTGTGTTTGTGGGAGGAGGGAAGCCCGGGTGGAGCAGCACGGAGTTCCAAAGCTTCTTTTGATGAAAGTGCGAACCATATTTTGTTTTTTTCCTTCAGTTCTTCAGGGAATGTATCGATACAAATTCACAGTAGGTAGTCTAAGTCTACAATGGGTTGTTAAAAAGACGGCTGTCTTTTCTCAAGGCAAAGAGTAGATAAGGAGAGCGTCGAGTTCAAATGACTCTGCTAAGTACTTAGTTACATTTAAGGTCAAAGACACAAACGCTGTGAGATCATTTGCAACAGTAAACTCTCCAGGCGTCACTGGGGCTCTTCGCGGAGCGGCCGATAGAGGGAGACGGCGAGCTCCTGACAATGCACTGTGGAGAAAACAGTTGTTTTTTCTAACATCATTACTGGATATGTCTGTGTATACCGTTTCCTTGTATATTACTTTACTATAAGCACAGTTTTACTTTTACCCTTTACTTCAAAACCCAAAAATCAGTACTTTTGTGTTGCCTGATGGTTAGACACAACTTTAGTGCAAGTGGATTGATTCACTGTGTTTAGTTGCACTTCTAAATTGAGACTTTGATTCAGCTGAAGCTCTACATGTTGTTTAAGTGTTTCAAAAACAATGGTTAAAAGTCTTTTTACTTTGTCATTTCATGTTTTACAATTTGAAATTATATTATGATAATAAAATATAATGATGAAACAAGCATGAAGGCTAGAAAATGGATGTTGTATAATATGTCCCCTTTTTTCTATTCCACTGAAATATCACCATGTTTCAAACCCAATAAATCATTGACCATGATGTGAGAAATATACAGGTTTAATACAAAATATAGAGAAATCTCAATAGATGTGGACAGTTTGTGAATCATCTGAGACAGCAACACGTCTGAGGAGGGCATGTGCGCTGAGAAACTCTTATGCAAATACCAGCTGTCGAGAAATGAAATAAAACTTCTCTTCAGATATTATTCATACAGCTTAAGATGGAATTTTTATTAAGGTTGCATGTTCATCAGTTTATCTATACAGAACAAACAAAAAACGTTAGACTCATGCAATTTGCTCGGTCTTTGACATCAAGCACCTTGCTCATCTCCATAATTTGTTACATAACTTTTTATTGTGTGTTATCTGCTTAGGCGTGTACTTTTTAATGCAAAGGCCTGTCCTCAAATTATGTATCTTTCCTTAGTAGTTATTACTTGGACTATTTCTAGTAACAAGTGAAATTGTTGACAGTGAGTTTTGAGGATTATCTTGAATAACTGGGGCACTTTCTTCAAAAAAAAGAAGGGAAAATATAGCCCTGAGCTTCACATTGCAGAGAAATATAGTGTTGAATCTGCCGACTTTACTGTAAGAGCTTTGAATAGAAATGTATACAATGATTCTAGTATGCTAAGCATAGAACACTCCCCCCTTTATTTCCTGCTTCTTTGTTTCCCCACCGTATGAAGTGATGTGGCTGACGGTCGCCTGATTATCTCAACGAATTATCCTGATTTTCTGCTCCACTTGGATGTGTGGAGCAGGCAGCTGCTGTCTCAGGGAGGGACACGTCCTCTTCTCCTCTGATCGTTTGGAAACATGAATTGTCCCAGGCTGGAGACCTGCCTCTCCCAGCCGCCTGTGGCCAGCTGCACAGTGTGTGGGCACTGTCTAAACCTTGATTGCCAAATGATTTGTATTGTTCTCTTTCTAATCACGATTACGTTTCACATGATTTGAACTATACCTCAGGTAGTATCTCATTTCCAACATTATTTACATATTTCCCTCAACAAAAGTCATGCCCACGCTCGCCTCAGTTTAAAACACTTCTACAATGATCAGATTACGATGTATATTGGTTGTGACATTTTGACATTTTAGTGCTATGGTTTGTTCCATTGACAAAATGACATAAGATGAGATATTGTTGATCTCATAATGGAGAAATGTACATGTTACATTTGGCTTTAATAAGTCAGGATAGGAAATGCGCAAACATTAGGAAATGCGCAAACATGCTACAAAGTAAAGGTGTGCACTAAAGTTATCTTATGTACTATTAACAAGTGACTATGGCAGTGCAAATGTTGCTGTCTCGTGCAGGTCACCATAAAACCACTTAACGTACATTCTGAATGGTTTGAATGGTTTCTCACTTCAGAAACATAGAGCAGTTTTGTGGCCAAACTGGAAAAGAATCTTTACTAAATGATATATTGATTGTATGAAGCGGTAAGACAGAAACCATCCACCCTGAATATGCTTTAATACTTGTGCATTTTGTTGATCGATAGACTAGACTAATTTAAACAGCCAAGTTTGCAATATGTTGGTTAAAAAAGTTAGAGACCTTTATTAATATTGCACATTTCACAGACCAAGGACCCACAAAGTGCTTTACATTTCCTGCTGCACAGGTCTGATGGACTGTATCCCCTTGGTAAACTTATCTTCTACCACTTCATGTTCATTCAGACTCCCTAAATATGGAAGAGCAACTGTGCCAATGTCCTTTAATTTCGACAAAGCGACAAAATTACAAGCAGAATGGAAGTAGGATAAAGGATGTCCGTTCACTCTCATCATTCAGACAGAAACAAGTAAACAATTGTAGCTTGAGGCTTTATCAGTTTGATGCAGCCTCATTATTGGCTTTTTATCTTTGAGACTCATGAGACTGAAGCCGAACAAATGACACTAAAACATATAATTGGAAGGATGAGGTCAATACTGAGTTAAAATAATACCTAATAGCTGTATTCATATGAACTCTATTTGTTTACATTGTACATTCAAATTTCCTCATCGCCACACTTTCTACAAACACTTGTTAACACTTGTCAGATGCCACCTGCACACTGGGACATCATGTAGTCTCCTAAAACCTGGTAATCTCTCATTACACACTGCTTCATCTCCAAAACCTTCCATCTTCCTCGCCTTGACTGTAGCTCAAATTATATTCATCCCAACTTTCTGGAAAATAAAATCTTAATGTATTCTCTCATTTATATTCATATCAATATTCATGCTGTTTATGAACACTGTCTTCCGGCTGTGTCTGGAGTCCATTATCCTCAGCCGACAATCTCTACACTAAAACAGAAAAGTTACAGCAACAAAGTAACACGCAGGCAAAAAAATTAGGTCATAATACGTATTTACACACAGAATAAGAAAATTATAATGATAATACATTAAACATACTCTGAGATGTACTGATTGAGGTCCGCCCGCAGCTTCAGTGATCTATTGTTTTAACAACAGGGGAGTAAGTAGAGGCTCAGACTCTTATTTTTCACTGCTTGTTTATGTGAAGCAGTCTGTAGTTTTCTTTGTGGCCGTCGACCTCGTTCTTTGTCCGTGCCTTTCCATGACTTTAATGTTCTCTATCTAAAGTTTCAATGTATTTTTCGTTGTTCAATTATAGGCGTTTTAAGATGAGAGAAGATAAACTATATACATCTCACAATGGAGGAGTTTAAACAAAAATGTGCACAAAATCCTCAAAAAAAAAAAGCATTATCAGAGGAAGGACGCTCTCCACAGATCTAACCCAGGTGGCACCACATGCAACATTTTCTGAATTTCTTATGCTGGGTGAAAGATGCTGGGTGAGGAGCTCAGTCATACAGGAGGAGCTCGGAGTGGAGCCGCTGCTTCTCCAGGTTGAGAGGAGCAGAGGTGGAGCAGGGATCTGTTTCAGACCGGTCCCTGAGGTGTTGCACAAATGTCCTGAAGAGGTGTCAGGGAAGAACCACAGGCATTTCTTGTGGGATCACCTTTGGATTCTCTGGGTTGGAGAAATGAGATGCAAGAAAAAAACAAATATGCATGTATCCTCACAAACACGGTAAAGTACTCGAGTGGCTTATGCCGGCTTGTTCAGCTTGAGGCTGTTCTTGACAATGATGATGGTTCAAGTGCAGACAATATTGTGCATCACATCCATAACTAGATAAAAGGTAGAATGAGCATCAAAGTGCCACTGTAGCTTTCCCTTAATGTACTCCAAAAACAGGCTTTCTCAGTTGTCTCTGAGTCTAAATATTAATTGTAGGGTAAATTTAGACTGCTCTTCATCTTCGTGCTCTTGTGCCGGAGCGGGTCGTGCATGTGTGAGAGTGTTCAGAAGGCTCCTGTTGGGATGAATTATTTAGACAAGAGTCTCCTTTGCTTATCCACGGTCCACTGGCCTTGGGCACGCAGCGCTTTGCTCCCAACAACACCAGAGACTTCCCCAATTCACCCAGCCACCCTCCGCAGATCCAGCTTTACCCTGCACCCATCCTCAGATGTGCCCAACGACAGTCCCTTTGCTGATGTTGCTTTGAACTCATCACATGAAATTGCAGCCAGTGAAAACAAAGTGTGCTTTAAAGCATGCTTGCGCTTGTGTGTTCAGTCCTTAAAAACAGTATAGAAATGATTTCAAATCCCTAAACATGTCAAATATATTGGAACCAACCATACATGTTTCTCTAATCAAAGTCAAAAGATTGTTTCAATTCCCCCCCCCCCCCCCCCTCCCCCACCAATCCAGTAGGACCTGATAGTGGAATGGACGATTTTGGTCTCTATGTCGTGTATTAAATCTCTATGCAACATGTAGTAGGCCTAATGCTAAGTCCCAGAGCCTCCATCTTGTAATTATTTAGTATCATTAAAGGTCCTCTATCTATTTGGTTTGAGCCTAGTATATGTACAGCAATGATTATATCTAATAATGCTGTTTTTCAAAATGCTTCTGATATGAGTATATGATGGTATTTGCAAAATGATTGATGAAGAGATTGTCTTTATTTAGAATTTAGCTAAAATCACAAAGATTCTTATTATTATCATTTTCACACCAATTTGTCTTTTTTCTGTATTTATTTCTATGTTTGCTTTTGTTAGGATTCCATTATCATGTCATAAAAAGCCCATAGTCCAAAGCCATAGCTGCTCAACATTCTTCTTGATGATGATGGTTGTGAGTAATAATAATATGACGCCTTGTTGCGGATTTGTGAATTTCATACTGAACTATTGGTTTTAGTTCATGTCATGTTCTTCGGTCAGGGTCTCAAAGCTGATCCTCCTCTAAGACAAGTAAACAGGACATACAACAGGCACAAACCATCCATCCATCCATCTGGATCCATCCAAGCTGAGATCTTTCAGTGGGAGCTTCAGGCAAAGTGGGGTTAAGTGTCTTGCCTAAGGACACAACGACAGCAGTCATCAGTGGGAGTCGTGAAGTAGGTCTTACGGTGGGCTCGAACCCACGACCTTCAGGCTCAAAGACCAATGCTCTACCAACTGAGCTACTGTCGCCCCTTACAACTATACTTTACCTACTAGAGTGTGGCTCCTTATTTCTACTTTCTCTGATTTTAATCAAAAGTCGCGGTGACAACATCAATAGCTTCTTTTGTTCATACCCCTGTGGTTTTAACAGGTATTTCCTTTTCTGTCCCAATGTGAATGTTCTATGATCTATTGCCTGTCTGTCAATGGGAGTGGGTCTCCTCAAGGAACTTTCCGTTGCAGATGGAGGACAGAGGTCAATCCCGGATATGTATTAATGGACGTGTATGAACTTGGACTTTTATCCATTATCCCATGGAGCAATGACTTCATAGGATTTATTTTGTTTCTCATAGCGTTCCAATTGCCTTAGTCCTCTGTAGGCTAATTGTGAGACTGAAAATATCGCTTCTTTGTGAACGCATAGTAGGAGGGCTGTTTTTTGCACAAACCCAGGAAAAAATGTATATTATCATAAAGAATCACATCCTCAGATATTGTTTCTATAGTACAGTAAGGTAATAATCCCATATCCTCTCGCTCAACTTTTAACCCTTTTATGGTTTCCTCACCATTTAGTGGATCCTTTTGAGTCACTATCTACTTGAAGCTTGAAACTAAAATCTACCTCTATAGGGCATCTATAGGGCATGACATTAAATGCAAAGAATGGGAAAATCCTTTGATGATCGTGGATTTGGCTGAATCCCTGTTCATTAAATTATTTTTATTTTTATTGTCAAGAGTTCTCAGATTTTTCTCCTCTCTTCATGAGTCTGTATTGGTATTATGATGATGTTATATTATTATTGCTAAAAATTTATAACGTTAACAAAGCAGTTGAATTGTTGAGTTGGTGACCTTGGCTTGGCCTCACACTGTAACCAACAGGATAGAGTGCAGACATTTGCATATTTACTCCTAACTTCTCTGCACTGTAATAATCTGCCAGATCCGTGCCACACTGCATGCATTATTATTATGCACACACTTCCAGTCACCGCTTCACTCTCTCACGTTTTCTAATTCTCACATCTCCAACTGCAGCCGGGGATTAGACATGATTGGTTCAATTCTTAGCAGCCTCAAGGCGGTCCCATTCAAAGGCCCAGTCTGACTGCAATCCCACTGCAGGGGAGATATGACATGTGGTCCAGTCATGCATTTGGGATTCTTTAGCCACCTATAGGCCATCCTTATTAATACTAATCTTCATATTGATTCACAAGCGCTGGTAAAGGATGGATTGGATATGTCGTTACTGTAATATGGGGATTGCTGCTGAGGTTTGTCTCATAGCAGCTACATTAAGAGTCGTGACCTTTGCCGGAGGAAATTGGAAAAGGGGATAAGTCCAGAGAAATGGCACGCTTGAGCCAAAATGCTGTGCTACGCTTTTGCTTTGGGGGGAAAAGTTTAGTGGATTTGGAGTTCACATAACAACTATCGCATGAAAACACACTGTTGCTCCTTTAGCAGGTGACAAATGGTTTGTCACCGATACTAAAAATATGTTGCTATGGTAACTGTAACAATAGTAGTAATCTAAATACTTTGATGAATTGAAAGAAAGCTCACAATCATTTCATAGCATCTTTATTTTTATAAACCATTTACAGTTTGTACAAGCGTTTTCTACATTGTGCATTTTCAAGTGATTGAATTGTGCCTTTGTTGGATATGAGAAAAAGTACAATTGTGAAAAGAGCGAGTGAAAATCTATTATGTAAGAAGTCCATAATACAAACTGGTCACGGAGCAGCCGTGGTAGAACTCATGTGCGGGACATTTCCTTGAACGTCCTTGAACATTTTCAGTACATTTCAGACTGTTCTCACTTGAGAAATATATTGGACAGTGTAAGTGACAACAGATTTAGGTTGAAGTTATTACAATTTTTTAATTTAGCTGTTCCACCCCTGCTCCTTCAAATACAAAGTGCATACTTTTCCTTGAGTACAGTTTGGGACACTCTACTCACCCAGAATTATCCACTTGATTTCAAAGATAATGCAGATGCATCAGATGCATTTCATTTTGATAATAATACATATTTTTGATCATACGACCCTACCATCAGTATTAAGCATTTTTCATAATAAATATATTTAGGACAGTCCTTCCCTTTGGAATATGATAAGTTCTGCTGGAGGAGAACAGTCAGACCAATGGTGCATTTGACCCAATCTGCAATACCACTCGTGAACCCAGTCAGGAGCAGTGGTTGCCACAGTGTAGCGTCTGGGGACCCATCTTCAAAGGTTGATGGTTGGTTAAGTCAGGACAACTGGTGCTGGAGAATCTTACCTATTGTACATGTTTTGGATATTAGTTAGTTTCTGTTGTGTCATAACCGTTCAGGATGTTCTTTGGAAAAATAAAATGTAGAATTGTCATAAGTAATTACATTATACAATGCCTGGAGCTGAGCGAATGTTTTACCATGTAATGCATGTGCAGTGGCAGGTCATGGGAAATAAGAGGCAGACAGACATTGAAATGTACATGAAAGAGGCCTCATGTCACAATCTTTTCTAAGCCAGAGGTGGAGGGGACCGGCAGATGAGAAACAGCATTGTGTGCACTATAATGGATGGTAGAAGAGGGGAAAGTCAGGAGAACAAGGAAACAGCTGAGGGCAGGATTTTGACAATGAGAGAAAATCAGACAGATGATGGAGAGAATGAGTGGAGGGATGATTCCCACAGTCATCCGAGTGGCTTACGGAGAAAATCTGACAGGAATGAGCCCATAAGTTCTGCACTTTATTTGAAGAAGCTGATGAGCGGCTGCAGAAAGAGTCCCAGTGTTCCCAGTACACACACCGTCACGAACACCCACAGGAAAATTCTGTCTATGACCATGGCCACGTACTTCCAGTCATCCTCCACCTGTTGAGCAACAAGAACACCATCGTCAAGGCAAGGCAAGGCAAGTTTATTTGTATAGCACAATTCATACACAAGGCAATTCAAAGTGCTGAACAAAACAAAAAAGCATTAAAATCATAAATAATCACAGAACATTAAAAAGAAAGATAAAAACATAAAATCCCTCAGTTGTATGCACAGCTAAACAGAACTGTCTTTAACCTGGTTTTAAACATTGTCAGAGAGGAGGCCTGTCTCACATCTTCAGGAAGATTGTTCCAGATTTTAGCAGCATGAATCTGAAAAGCAGCCTCCCCATGTTTAGTTCTGACTCTGGGTACTAACAGGAGTCCAGTCCCTGTGCTCCTCAGAGTCCGGGCACAAGCAGAGCTGTTTTAAAGTCTATTCTCTGAGCCACAGGAAGCCAGTGCAGAGACCTGAGAACTGGGCTAATGTGGTTGTACTTCCTGGTTCTAGTCAGGACTCGAGCTGCTGCATTTTGAATGTACTGCAGCTGTTTTACAGCCTGTTTGGACAGACCTGTGAGCAGGCCATTGCAGTAGTCTAACCTACTGGAGACAAATGCATGGATAAGAATCTCCAGGTCTGCTTTAGACACTATGTTTTTGATCCTGGCAATGTTTTTAGATGGTAAAAAGCTGCTGATGTTACTGATTTGATGTGGCTATTAAAATTTAAGTCTGAGTCCAGTATTACCCCTAGATTTCTGACCTTGTTTGAAGGTTTTAGGGAGAGAGACTGTAGGTGACAGATGACGCTCTCTCTTTGTTTCTGGGGACCAAAGACAATATTTCAGTTTTGTCTGCGTTTAGCTGAAGGAAGTTGTTTTGCATTCACTCACTGATCTGTTGGATACAGTGAAGGAGTGAGTCCACTGGTCCATGTTCTCCTGCAGTCAGTGAGACATAGATCTGAGTGTCGTCTGCATAGTTGTGATAGGACACTTCGTTTCTGCGTATTAACTGACCTAACGGCAGCATGTAGAGATTGAACAGAAGAGGTCCCAGGATCGACCCCTGTGGGACTCCACAGGTCAGGGCCATATGATCTGAGACACAGTTTCCAATCTCCACAAAGTACTTCCGGTACTTCCGGTACTCGTCAAAGCACAACCCAGCAACAAACATGTAGTGAGTGGTGAAAATGGTACGTTTGGGGCCGTTTCTAAGGCAGAGAGCTGCATGGACAGTAATCAGAGACATCAAGTTGATATTTTTGTGCTCATTTTTCGTTTGGTTTTGTACAGATTGTTTGTATTTTTGGTTTGATTTTTGGTTTTGATGCGCTAAAGCTGTTTGTCTTTGTTTTTTGTCTTTTTTCAAGCGAAGGTTTGGTATTTTTTGGTAAAAAGTGAGTTTGACATGAGATGAGAAGAGTTAGAGGAAGATTCAAGAGCATACATTTACCTAGCACCTTTAGTGAAACCCAAAGAGCTTTAAAGTGCAATTTACACCATATACGGTGGTCTTAAAAGCTATTATTGTAGTCACAGCTGCCCTGGGGTTGACTGACAGAGGGGAGACCTGCACTACCTCTGACCACAGCCAACCATTCATTCACCAGATAAACGGAATATGGGTGTAGTCTCTTACTTAGAAACACAATGGCAATTTTCACCATCCTGTGGCACCATGGTACTATAGAAGAATGTGGAATATTCCCAACTAAACAACAAAATATAACTTGACTTCTATGTCTATTTTTTTACATTTTCCCAGTCAGAGGTGACCTTTACGTGATGCTAATTGTGGAATTTATAGCATTGCCCCAAACCATCACATGTAGTCTTTGTCACAAAGCTAATTATGCATATCAGCCTGCTTTTTCAGCTTCATCTGTGGCTACGTGTGAAGACAAACTGCATTAGGACTTGGCATGATGTGCTCAGGTGTGGACAATTGGATCATGGCTGCAGTGACCGTAATGTTCTTTTGTGCCAATAGAAAAGCAATGCAGCTATTATACGCCATGTATCTGAAAGCAAAGATGTGAGCCTTGCTGAGAAAAAGACGGCTCTAAAAGTAACAAACATATCAGCAGCATCCAGAGTGTGAAAGATGCGAACACAAAGAGCTCACCGTCTGTAACCAACAAGCAGCTTTGCTCTCCTTTTATAGCTGTGTGGAGAAGGGCTGAGCAGGCAGCAGGTTCAACAGTGGGAGTCTGTGTGAATGCTAAATACAGTCTACTCTAACAATAACAAACCATATAAGAAAAATAATATACTGAAATTTTATGCAAAATGGTTTCATTTTCAATATCTATAGATTTACATTTTACACACACAAAAAACACACATTAAAATCCCAAATTCAATTAATTAGGAATAAAGTCAGATAGAGCTGTAGCAATGTTGCAAACTGTAAGACTGGAATATCTCCATGGTCACTATCTGAACTCTTCACTTCAATCCTTTGACTACTACACACCTGTGCCTCTACAAATCACCTACTTCACCTGCTGCACTTTAATAACTCATGCAGCAAACCACCTCCTCCCCATCACCACCACAGCAGTGGTTTGTTATCAGCTCATCACTTTAGCTTTAATGTCTCCCAGGCCTAAGTGTCTAATCATGCAGAAACCAATTATCATTCTAAAACATCTTTCTCCAAGATTTAAAAGAATCTTATCTCACAGAATGAGAAAAGTGTAAAGTTTTCATAATGAACAAAGGCTTTCACGGTTCTACAAGGTAAGGTGCAGAATAATGTGGCCAGAGAACAGAAGGCCACATCATTTCTAATGTGGCCTTCAGGCTCATCACAAGGTTTTTCATTAGAATGTTTCTAAACAGTCCAATTTATTGGTTTTAAATATATGCAGAAAGTCAAGGTGATTCAATTCATAACTTAAACTGGCTTAGGCTGTGTCTATCTGATTTTGTTAGAATATGCATAACATTCACACAGTACTACCGCTCTTTTTGTCAATCTACATAAAGACCAGCTGCCATGTTTTTGTCGTACAGCACAGACCAGTCCCATTACGTATCTTTAAATGAAACGATTAAAGAATAAAGTTGAACACATCTTGAACCAAAGATGTGTTGCACACACGCTCACCTCTTTGGCTTTGTTCCGAGTCCGCATGTTCTCCGCTATGTACTTGACGCTCTCTATGGCCTGCTTGATTTCGGGCGACATCACCGACACAGCCACCACTGCATTGACGGGCGACGGGGAGTTTAAGGGTCTGGGCACCTTCGGGGACTTTGGGGGCTCCGGCAGCGGCAAGCTCTGAGTGCCCAGGGATGTGAGCGACGAGGGGAGAGGAGGGGGAGGTGGTGGAGGAGGAGGAGGTGGAGGAGGAGGCGGTGTTTTGACCATGGGAGGGGGGACTGGCGTGGGCACTTCTTTGCCTCGGTTGTAGGTGTACCTTCTGGTCACGTCGCGATTCAGCGATAGCTCTTTGTTATTGTCACGATTCAAGGACAATTCTCGGTTATGGTCTCGATTTAAGGAGAGTTCTCTTTTCTTGTCTCGAATTTCTCCATACTCTACACAGTTCATTGCGCCTGCAGTTGACGCACCTCCACCTGCACTTCCATCCCGAGCACATGCTACACCACCAGTTATCCCTCCGATGCTAACGCTCCCGGATCCGCTCCCCGATCCAATGCTGTTCTTTCGCTTCTTGTTGCCCAGGCGATTCAAACCTGCATTTCCCCCGACCGCACCAGTCCTGTTGCTTGCAGAGTTGGAACCGGCTTGATCTATGGGCCTGCGCATGAGCATGACCCTTGGGAGCACTCCTAGGAACACCGCCCGCACCCAGTCCGGCATCGTATGCGTCATGGGCGTGCGATAGTGGACATTCAGCACGAAAACGGTGATGACAATGCTGAGAGTTACGAAGATCATGGTGAAGAGAAGGTACTCGCCGATCAAAGGGATGACCAGAGACGTGGACGGGATGGTTTCAGTGATAACAAGCAGGAACACAGTGAGAGATAGCAGGACGGAGATACACAGCGTGACCTTCTCCCCGCAGTCCGAGGGCAGGTAGAAGACCAAGACAGTGAGGAAGGAGATGAGCAGACAGGGGATGATGAGGTTGATGGTGTAGAAGAGCGGCAGGCGGCGGATATAGAAAGAGTACGTGATGTCAGGGTAGATCTCCTCACAGCAGTTGTACTTGATGTCGTGTTTGTATCCTGGAGCGTCAATGATCTCCCATTCGCCGCTTTCCCAGAAGTCTTTGAGGTTCACCTAGAAGAGGAAAGTACACAGCGCATTGGGAAACAAATTATCATAAAAAAAGATGTTCTTAATGTATTTTGAAACAAAAACTCGAATAATCATAACTCGTGCAAACATACACACACAACTCGAACACAACAAAACAAATATGACCCAATCTGAACCACTCTGTCTTTATCTTATTGGTTCATTTATAGCCAATGTCATCAGGAAGTTGCGTGTAAATCGAGGCAACAGAAGTGCCGTGTTTATCCGCCTTGTTTACACTAGCAGGACGCTGATCAGTGCAAGATTTCAGATAGATACATTCAGAGTTGTTCTAACTCCAAATATTACACAGGGATTAAAGTTTAGCAAAGCAAGTGACTCTCGGTCGTCTCTGCAACAGCAGCTTGGCGTCAGGCTATCAAGGGCTTGGGTTAGCTCTTACATCTGCCAGGAGGAATGGACCGAAGATACCATCAAGAATGCATGGGTCAGCAGTAGTCATGTTGAACATTTTTTTTAAAGTAATACTTCCATTGCCATTCACAAACAAGGGTCTAATAGATACACATATCGCATTCTTGTAAGAAAGCCATATGAAGCATTTGCCATGCTTGGGGCTGAGTCAAATTTATAATTGATTCATTGACTTTTTCACCTTTATGTCTGAAAAAGCTGATCAAAAGATGTGAAATAAGCCAAAAATACTTGTATGACAAAACTAGTGATAGAACAAAAAAGATGGAAGTTGTGTTACTGGCCAAAAGTCATGCATGTGAATACTTGTGGTCTACCATAGTTTATAAATGCAAACAATACAAAATAAATAAATGTGACCATTAGAGAAAGAATAATCACAACCTAAAGGTTTTTCAGCATCAGCAAATTTTAAACAAAATGTAATGTATCTCTTTGAACCCTGCGGCTAATATAGTAATGCAATGTTTCATCTCAATCAATCAATCAATCAACGTTTATTTATTGAGCGCCTTTCTACACAAGGCAACGCAAAGCGCCTCACAACCCATATAACATCATGCATAAAATCAAACATTAGAATTTAAGTAAACATAAAAAAGACAGATTAAGAGCACAAGATATATAAAATCACACAGCAATTACAATCATAAATAATCATAAATAATCATAGCGCTTAAAAAGATTAAAGATAAAAAACAAATATAAAATCATTCACTTGTATGCACAGCTAAAAAGAACTGTTTTCAGTTCAGTTTTAAAAACTGCTAGAGTAGACGCCTGTCTCACACTCTCGGGAAGACGGTTCCAGACTCTAGCTGCATGAATCTGAAACGCAGCCTCCCCATATCTCATTACATCCCTAGGGGCTTATCCTTCCAGTAAATTAATACAAATCAAATAAATGTGTATTTTATTATGGTAGAGTTGCAGAGCCGAGTTTAGGGACTTATTTTGACTCCATCAAGCTTTAGTAGCTATAGGACTCTCCGCTATTGTCAAAATAGACTGGTGAATGAGTACTGGCATGGAGCTGAGGGTTAAGTTGCTAAACACCTGGTAATTAAATCATGTTGTGTCCAGTTAAAACAGTCGTCTATGTGCTACATTACATGAAAACCTGTGCCTTACATATTCAAGTGCGGCCTAATGTGGACAATAATGTACTTTCTTTTAAAATGTTTCTGGTGCGGCTTGTATGCAGGTGCTCCTTATATAGTCCAGAAAGCATGGTACTCTGTATTTTAGAGTCAGATGTCTGCTCAGGCTACTCCTAAATGGCAATTTGTCTCACTAATTGTAGACTTTAAAAAGGTACAACCAGGATTCCGTGCAGGCCCATTGTTATCCAGCACTGCCATTCTGAGATTTCCCTAAGATGTTACCCCTCAATCTAATGAATTGATTCACATTGCGGTTAAAAATAAAAACACACAACTAACCTTAGAGCCAATGAGAACTAGGTCGATCTTGGCTTTATCATACGTCCAGGAGCCAAACTTCATGGAGCAGTTCTGATAATCAAACGGGAAGTACGTGATGTCCATGGGGCAGGAGGATTTAAAAATAGCTGGAGGAATCCAAGTGATTGTCCCATCAAACTTGAGCAGAGCTTTGGTCTTGTCCTCCACCAGAAAATCACCCACAGCACTGCGATGGTGAAAGCAATGACAGGTCACATTATAATCATCTCATTTAATTAACAAATAATTATTTTAAAAGCAGCATACTTGTTGTACAGCACAATGTCTGGCCTCCAAATCTTGTTTGATGGTACACGTATAAACTCAATCCCATCATATTCAACAGGAGACCATTTCAACTTGTAATCGTTCCATACCTGAAAGCCAAAATGCAAATTACTTATACAATATATTTCATATTAATGCGACAAGTGAGCACAAATCATAAATGTAACACACTCACATGCCGAAGCCAGAGATTGGTTTCCATTATTTGGTTCACTTCATCCTGCATAATTTAACAGTATTATGATTATAACCTCTTCATTATCTTTCCCCCACGTTGTAAATTAGATTATTATGTATCTTACCACTTTGACCAGTTGCGATATGGAGACCTCAAACTCCACTGTGACTGGATCTGAGACATTTTCCACTGGTCGAATGAACTGGTTGTAACGGCGGAACAGCCTCCGGAACAGCCTGTCCTCTGCTTTAGAGGAAAAACAATCTGAGAAAACAGAAATATGCACATAAAACGTTTGTAGAACATTAAATTGAGTCACATCCATTATTACTGTATAGAAGAAACATGGACTGTATATACTGTAGATGGACGATGGACAAAGTTTTGTAATGGCCCCATTTACATACATTGAAAAGTAAACTCATTTAGCTCCATCACACTCACCTTAAAAAAACAAATGGAAATGGACAATTTTTTTTGGATCAATATTACAATATCTAAAAGCTTCTCATTCTATAATACACATATTATTATAATCCTAAACAGTCACTTGAATTGGCTAAAAAAGAAAAGTGTGTATATAGAATAGAAATATTGTGTTGCCTGAAACTTTTGTCCACCAGATATTTTATGTACACTTGAGCGGATAACTTGAAAAGATAATACTACGTTTTTGTACAAGGGGAAAAAAATGATTTTCTTGTTACATGCAGAACCTTTTGGGGGGAATATGTACAACCAGTTAAATAAGCAACAACGTGTTAAATTTAACTATTATAAAAGGCTTAAGAGACCGCTTACATAATGATGCCATCTGTATAGTGTCAGAACACAAACTCACATTTCAGACCGTCACAGAATACAGAGGACTGCTGTGGTGAAGGTCATGTGTGCAAAGTTAACAAAGTTATAAATGGGCCAAAGTTTAGGTGTGCAGCTTACTGACAAGACCCGCCTCCTGGGACGTTTGGCCAATTTCACCTTTAAAACTGCAGCTCGCTCCTTAGTCTGAAGCCCTGTCTCCGCTTCAAACTTGCGTAAGTCCTAATTGGGTGTGGGGAATTGAGGCTAATTATAATCAGTCAATTAATTGGACCTCTTGTTCCCAGGGACAAAAACCTTAAGCCAATATGTTCTCTCTCTCTCTGGGCCGATGCTCGCGGCTAATGCAAGTCTTTGTTCTGACACTTAGCATCTTAAGTGGTCACAATTTATGTGAAGTTAATTATAACCTTTGGCCTTTGGCTGCACGTTCATTCTGAGTCAAATGCAGCTGAGATCTTGGTTAACAGCAAAATAGTATTATTTCTACTCCCATTTATATCTTAAAAAACAAATTATGCAAATGTTTTTAGACAAAACTTCATGATGGTATAATTTATTACATGTTGTCTAAAACAGTATTCAACTTTTACTAAAATAAAAAAACAAAAAAAATATTTTTACTGAATTGAAACTACATTATGATTAGTTACCTCAAGGGTCAAACTCAATACACAATTTTTGTATATTGACGAATTAATTCTATTTAACATGACTTGTCTCTTGATATTTTTTTCTGGAAGGTTTGGATTCAATCACAACCAAATATAAAAAAATTTAATTGAAGATTAATTATTAAAACATTTCAGATTTGATTTCTAATTACATGTTAACATTTTAGATTCGGACCACAGGCCTGATTTTGACATGTCTGAGTTAGCTCAATCAACAGTCATATGATCAGGCAGGTGTCTCTTTTAGCTCAATGCTGCTTTCTGAAACAGAGAATGACTGAAACATGGCACGACAATTCAAGTATAACAGCAGAATAGAACACACCAAGACTCTACGGCTGAAACGCAGAACATTAAACTATTATTCAAAAGTTCAACATGAAATGATGTATAACAAATATATGACAATGACCTAAACCAAAACATTTGTGATGATTACATGATTATGGCTTACACTACATTTTCAAACTTTTTACAAGATGTGAGTCATTTGTTGACATTATAATGGTCACAGTCTGTTTAACAGTGCATACAACCTAAAGATTTTATTTTATTTTATCTCTACAACTGAAGGATTTTATATTGACTCTTTTTAGTGCATTGTGGCAATTAATTACATTAATCCCATGTGAGTTTTAAGGTTTTTAATTACATGTGATTTTTTTTCTTTTTTAAATATTTCTTCAAGATTTTTGTTTTTAATATTTATTATGGATTTTAATGTTTATGATTTGCTTGATAGAATGTGGGCTGTGAGGTGCTTTGTGTCCCTTATGAAGGAAAAGCGCTATACAAATACAAGTTGATTGATGGATAAAGGCTCGATATATCTAATCAACCCTCTAATGTCTAAACTTCCCCCATAGTTTTACAACCCTCTTATTGTAACAATATGTCCTTGAAGGATACAGCTTTGGTTCGAATCCTCACAAAAAATCAGAAAGACAGAACTTTCTTTTACACGACACACGCAGCTTTACCAACGACATCGATCACAACTCTTTCTTCTTGCAGCTGAAGCCAAGCCGTGCCTCTCTCCCTTTAAGTGGACACATTGATTAGGAATTATCAAGTCCAAACTGTTGCCCCCGCAGAGAAATCTCCTTTTGAGACTTATCTGATTGACCGCAAGTCTCGAAATGGCCATTGAAGGGACTAAATTGCTGGGCCGTGATGACAGAGCTGACAGTCTGCAGTCTCCAAGTAAAAAAGAAAAGATATAACATTCAGAGTAAGGAAGACAGCAGGGAGCACAGATATGATGTGGAGAACAAGCAGAGAAAAGCTCGATAGCGTGTGCGGGCTCTCCAGGGTTTTTGATGGCCTCACTGTGACACGCTGAATGACGCATGATTAGCGGCCGCGCTGCGACTGCCCCGTTATGATTAGGTTGGACTTTTTATGTGTGTGTGAGTGCTTTAACTCGATGTGTCTTCACGCTCCTATATTTATACATGTACATTCAGCATCTGATTTTGTCAACCATGCATGAAATCTAATGTCGTCTTTGTGTCTTGAAGCTCGCACCAAGATGTCACTGCGTTGTATGAAAATTGTGCGCACTGCTCCGTTGTATGCTTTGACAGAGTGGGTATTTTTGGCAGTTTTTTTGTGTTTGTCTTTTGTTTTTTGGTGTTGAATGTGTTAAAATTTGTTTCAGCCATCCTTAGCCTAATATTCAAGGATGGATAACAACGTTTATATCAAAATGTATAGATCTCAGACCAAGGTTACAAAGGTTACACTTTATACAAGAATAGGCTGTGTCTGCAACTTCAATTGTATTTCATTTTTAAAACAATGCATATTTTCATCCCCTTTATTAGTCCATTTCTGGGGTGGGGGTGGCTATCAGAGCTGCCACCCAATGCTCATAGCACTAGTCCCTCACTGATCCTCCTGCAGGTGGTAGGTCCACGGGAAGATGGCTGCTCTGTCAGTGAAGACACGGCCTTAGTGTTTCAGCGGGACTTCAGGCAAACAGGGGTTAAGTGTCTTGCCCAGGGACACAACGGCAGCAGACATCAGTGGGAGTCAGTGCCATGGATCATGAGTTTCCCCATGACCATTAGGTTAAAAACCAATGCTCTTCCTACTGAGCCACTGTCGACCCCATTATCATTAATTTTAATTTAAAACAGTCCCTCTTCTTGGAATAACTACGACCAGTAAGATTTGCTGGAGGAGAACAGTTAAATCAATGACGAGGGGCCACAAGGATTTGGTTTAAGTTTAACCAATCAGGAGGCTGTAGGGCTGAGCATGGGCGGGTCTAACCAGTGATTGTCTTCAAAAAGTGTCACTCCCTCTTCTCAGTGTATAAAGTAACAGACATTTACTAAAACAAAAACTGTAAAAACTATGATTGTATATACATAAATAAGGATTGTGCCTATTATGAAGCATTTATCGCTGTACTTTTTTTGTGCTCTTACTGCTGTCCTGTATGTGCGCTGCAACACTGACATTTTCAAAACGCATGTAAAATCAAAACATGAAAGTTTGTTGCAACAAAGAAATGACTGGTTGTATGTAAATGATTAGGTATGGGGATCTTTCATACCGTTGCTGCGTCAAACTAATTAAAGACAAACCAATAAGTACATAACAGCGCTGTCGTCTAAAGCTTTCTCATCGCCACAACCATCGTCATGTGGATAATTACTCAATTATGGCTAATTCGTTTTGTGGGAGTTTATTCTTGAGCGTTATACTTACAAAGCCAAGTGCTTTTGTGAATGGTGCTTGCTCGCAAAGTGGTATTATTGTAACGTCTGAACGGAAATTGAGCTCTGGCAGAAGACTGAAATCAAAGCCGCTTCAACTTAATCTTCATAAAAGTTTAAAGTTGTCCATTTTAAGCCATTACAATATGAAGTCAGTTTGTTGATTGAGACAGCTCTCTATGTCTCTATGTAGGGCTCTTAACAGGTTACACTACTCACAAAAAGTTAAGGATATTTTGGGAATAATGTAGACCAAGCAAAGTCTCTTACTGATCAAGTCGATTTATTGTCACAGAAGTAATCTTATTCCACTCCTCTCTAAGGGTGGCCCTCAGGTCACTGGTAGGGGTGGGGACCTCAGGGTACCTGATGATACAATACGATGTGCGATACAAAGCTCACGATAACGATTATTTCACGATATGATGATGCAGCGATTATCGATATATTGGTCAGTTGAGTAGAGGGAAGTTATACTGAAATCACCAGTCTCAGACAAAAAGCTGAGAAAAAGAGGCGCAACAAGTGCATCCTGTTTTCAATACATCCACAGGCAGCGCTGGTGCCACCTTCTGGCTCGATAAAATATGCTCTAAAACTAATCCCCGTACATATTAGATATACTGTAATACTGTAGACATCTGGGAACATGAAGATAGTGAAAAACGCTATTGACGTATTAACACAATAGCAGACAGTGTTATTGATACTAAGCAAAAGCATATTGATAATCGGTTGCGTGAGAAAGTATCACGTTACATCACCATATCGATATATTGTCCTATACACTCCTAGTCACTGGGTAATGAGCCTCTCCATGACGACTGAGCTTGTCCAATAGGATATCTAAGGGATTCATATCTGGTGCAGGCCACTCAGTTTGGTCAACCAGCCTCCGGCAGGCGTTCTGTTATGATGCGACCTCCATGAGCTGCGAAATGAAATGTCCATGTGGGACCACAGTGACTGGATAAATGATGTTATTCAGGTAGGTTGGACTTGTCATTGTACCATTCAGTGTCAAGCTCTTGGGTTCACACCA